GCCTGGCTTGTGTTTCCACAACCCCATAGGCCACCCCTTCTCAACCCGGGCAGCTTGCGGATGGGGGGCCTCCAACCCCAAGATTTCCCCGGCCAGGCGGCGGGCGGGGGAATTCTGGGAGTTGGAGTCCACACATCCGAAAGCTGCCAGGGTTGAGAAGTGCTGGCTTAGAGGGTTGTGCAAACCCAGGCCAGGCGGTTAGCTTAGGGTTCGGAATATGGGGTGGACCAGAAAGTGGGTGGATTTGCTCACGAGATTAGGCAAGTTTTGCAAACCTGGCCACTGCAATCAGTAAGCAAGTGGGACCCAGAGAATACCAGAGGGGCATTGCCGCTCTCCTGCCAGGCACCAGATCCAGGGGGATGTCAGCCTATTTTCTCCCACCTTCTTCCTCCCCATCTAAAACATGATGCAGAGAAACTGTGCCCTGCTGCCATCTGACCCCGAAGAATGATGAACAGTGGGCACTGTGAAAAGGAGCTTAAAAGCAGGAGCGTGCGGCTGCCCAGCTGGCAGGAGAGGGCAGCAGCTCCCTTTTGCTCTGCTCAGGCCCTGGGAAGCCAGAAGGTTCTCATTTTCCTGTGCTGTTGGTGTGAGAGATGGTTTGCTTTTGGGTTGCCAGATCGGTGCGTGGAACAGGCCCGCCTGGGGCTCCCCCCGCCTCTCTCTCCGTCCTACCGAGCCTTCTACAGACTTGCAGACACTCCGCCTTGGTGTAAAACCGGTTGGCATTCCCTTTGCAGCCACTGTACTTGAAGGCCTCGCACGTGGCAGTGGTGGCATCGTAGTAGAAGATGTCCAGCCGGGAGGCGCAGGAACCGGGGTCTTTTGGAAGGCTGCAGAGACCTGCCGGTCCAAACAAAAGACATCAGCCCCCCCCTGCTTTCCGTACGGGTCAGGGAGCTGGATCCCCTTCCCTCCCTCCTGCTGCCCTTCCCAGTCCCACCCATCCCGTTCCCCTCTTTGCACTCTGCCCTTTAAGCGTAGGCAACCCGTAGGAGCTACTATGGTGTCACCCACATCGTGACGTCACCCAAGCCATGTGATGTCTCTTGCCCCCTTTGACTTTTGTGGCTGTTCCTGCGTTTGAAACACCTTCCCAAGCAGAGCCCTCAACCCCCCCACTGTGGCATGGGACTCCCCCCCCCCGCTCCTGAACTCCAAGAGCCAGGGACCGTGAAGGGACTCCCACAGGCCCAGCACCCACACGGATACCCACACACGGATCACTCTGCTCAGAAGAGGCTGGCAGCCCACTTTCGCCATGCTGATGATGGGGGGCGGGATTCCCTGTGGCCAAAAGCCACCGCTGGCTCAGCATATGGGGCATCCCAGAGCTGCCCCTTTGGCTGGGGAGGAGAGGCCTCTTCCCTTGGGGGGTGCAGCCTGGCAGCGGATCCAGGGTTACGGCGGCCGTGTTGGCGGCGCAGGAGGCTTTGCCTGCCCTTGCTAAGGCCACCCTCCGCCGGGGCCACGCTCGAGTGGGAGCAGGCCGCCGGCCCTCCCTCGCCCCCTCTTCCGCTCTAAACCAGGCTTGGCCCAAGCAGCCCTTCCGTGGCTGCAGCCAAGGACTGAACTGGGTCCTGCCCAGGCTTCTCCGGAAAGGCCCCTCCAGGCCACCCCCACCTTGCTCGAGCTCCGTGCACTCGCGGCGGCACCCCGTGAGGCAGCATTTCTGCCTGGGGGGGCAGTCCCGGTCGTCGTCACAGGCGTCTCCGCAGGTGCCCGTCTCCGGCAGGGCGCTTGCTGCTGGGCACACCCC